TTTTTTTTTTTTTTTTCAAAGAAAAGAACACTTTCTTCGTTTGCTACATAATGTTAAAAATCTCTAAAACGAGAAGGGAAAACAAATTCATGGTTATAAGTATATCAGGAGTACAAGTTTTTCAGTGAAAGCAAGCACGTTGTTAAACAATTCATTTTACGAAGTGATGACACTTTTAAATTAATTGCAGTGCAAAACTGACTCCATGAGAACGCTTTGTATTCGTCAGAATACAGACGATAACACGGCGGAATTTTCTTACGAAAGACAAACATCCTACCAAACATTATATACAGTCCTTTGTTTGTATTCTACATGTAAATACCTACTCAATGAAATATTATATTGATAGTAAAATTGCCATGCGTGTGTTCAGTTTTCCTCGCCACTGTAGTTGAGATCGTTCCTTGAGATCTTGGTTGCGAAGTGATTTTGATTTTTTGTCGCAGTATAATTCAAGCATACTTTGGATGCTCGGACATGGCGTATTTGTACGAGAAGGACATCTCGTTTCAAATTATATACGGTATAAAGGGCTACAATAGTGACGACGAACACGATAACGCGAAGAATGGATTATTGTCCGCGTTTCACATAATGAAAGAAATAAGACGCATTCGCAATGTCAAAACGATTCTCATCGGCGTCTCGACCGGTAATCACTCGCAACACGTACAAATTTCCAACTTGTTGAATTACTCTTTTACCTCGAATTTCCAACTTTCAACTAACTTTTTCAATTACTTGACAGGGATAGCATTCTGCGGAGTAGTCGGCCATAGTGTCAGAAGACAGTATATGGTTATCGGTACGCCTGTCGATAAGGCCAGTTCCTTGATGATGGTTTCGTTCGACAAGGTCTCCGCCTTCAAAGTTTTCAACGTGATTTCTCTCGTCTATCGCCACGAGATCTAGAAAAGAATATCTTTTTATCGTAGATATCTTGCGACTACGAGACACTTCTAAGCAGTGGCTTGCCCAAAGAGAAATTTCGTACGCGTGGTATGAAGATATTGAGGAAAGTCGGGAAATGCCACGTTTATGAATTCCTGGATGAACAGTCGTCGTAATTTCTTCAACTCTTGCCAATGATCTTACCAGTGTTCCGCAATATTGTTCTTTCGCGTTTATTTGAATATTCATTCTGCCAGGAGAATCAGATTATTGTCGAACTTGGAATACGTCTATCCCATTATTGGTCGATACAAGGAAATGGAATACTTCAAGGACATCTTGGACGATATCGGGGTGCAAGGGCGAGTTTATGCTGGATTGCTCATCGAAGTGCGGATCTTAATATATTCGTCAATCGATGGATTGCGGGTTTTTATACGTTTTAAAGTTCAATGGAAGTTGAAATTGAAATTTGAGAACGACAATCGAAATGAAATAAACAACCAGGGATAGAAACAATCAGAAATAATTTTATCTAATATATCGAGATGTTTCACATATTTTTGCGTTTTCCAATTTCCCATGCATAAACGTATAAAAATCAACGGTCCAGCGATTCTCGAGAAAGTCTCATTTTCGACGATCAATCGTTCAGGGCCCCGAAAGATGCGGCAAGTCGAGGATTCTCGACGCTTTCGTTACGATCGTACGAAACAGACAAATAAAGCTCGTTCAACTTTCTTTACATCCGTCCTACGTGGAGAAGGTTTACGCTACACTGTACGACGTGTTCCTGCAAGTAAGTTCAACAACAATTGCATTCAACAAGTTGCAACAATTGACGGCGAATCTTCGTTTGATATTCGTATACCTAGCTTTTCGACGCTGAAAATTTCTCGACCATCAAGAACCGCGAGAAAATTATATCGCACAAGCTCTCCGAGATACTACAGCCAGAAGATTTCTGTTACCTGAACACCATCATGAGAGTACAGTTCCCTTTGTCGAAGAAATACTGCGAGGACAACGACTGGCAGCGTCACAAGAAGACCATCGAGATGTTCGATGTGATATTAAACGAGGTTTAACAACGATACGAATAATTATCTCCGTAAAGTTCAATCATCGAAAACGTTCATGCTCTGAACTTGAATATACATGAATATTTTCTATAAATATTCTGTTATATTATTAACATTGTAAATATTGTAAATATTCTGTATATTATTAATATTGAATATTGTAAATATTCTGTTATATTATTAATATTGTAAATATTATTACTAATATTGTAAGTATTAATATTATTACGAACAGTTTCGTAATAGTATTTACAATATTAATAATATAATAATAATAAATATAGTATTAATATTGTAAATATTATTACTATATTATTATTATTATTATTATATTATTATATTATTATATTATTAAATATTATTACTATATTGTAAATATTATTATTATTATATTATTAATATTGTAAATACTATTACGAAACTGTTCAATTCAGGTAATCGGCTGCGTATGCATCCTTTTGGACGACATACAATACATGGATCTCCTATCCTGGCAGTTTTTATCCTACGCCTTGAACAACAGTCGCGTGGTTCTAGTTATGACGGTGACGGGACACGTCCCGTGGGACGATTTGTCTCGAGTCGAGAACAGCATCTTCCGGGACAAGAGACTGATGATCAAAACGTTGGATGACTTGGAGCCTAAATACTTGGCAGCGTTCGCCTGCCAATTCTTGAACGTCGTCGCAATTCCCAGCACTATCGAGAAGTAATCTCGTTTCTCAGTTTCTCTTCTTTCCTGTTTTTCAAAATTTCGTCGCGTCCAAGTCGCTATCAGTCGCTGGTCCTTCGTTTAGAGTCCTACAGCAGCGTAATAGAACTGCGATCAGCTGGTGCGAGGCGTTTCTAATGTCAGCTATACAAGTGAACGCGTTGGAGGTTGTCACGATATCACCCGCGGAAGCGGCTCACCATGATCTCGTTTATCCGGAGCAGTCGCTGTTGTCGAAGATCCCGGCGTACCTGATGCCTGAGGAAATAGCACCGCCATTACACTGGACGCAAATGAGCGAACTGGCCGTGTGCGTGCTGTCGAAGAAAGCGAAAGGTTCCATCGAACTTAATCGAGACACAACAGGTGGCTTGGAATTTCATCCTTTCCTCAATTAACTTACAGACGATTAGTGTATTTGTATAATCCAGACTAGACTAGCAATTTTTTACACATTCAGACGGCTAGTAGATCACTTAAACTAAACGTCACTTTACACTCTGCCTACTAGAAATCGGCAGTGAAATTAGATTCAAACCGATTAGAAAGAAAGTATATATTTAATTGTCAAACGTTAGGCTTGAGGATCGACATTTACAACAGAATGAACCCCTACGAGCAAGCTTTCATTAAGTGTGCGGCAACTGTGGGCTACAGCTTCCAATGCAAAATGCTGGACACCGTGATGGCCAACGCTACGCCGATATACACGTTGAAAGGAAAGAAATAATCATTCACCATTGAAAACGTATTTCGCAATTATTATACATATACTCTGCCTCGTTACTTCAGCCGTGGCAGAGATGATCAGACTGAGGATCTTAGAGTGCGCCATGATTCAGAAGAAGTTCTACTACCTGAACGATTCGTTCTATTACGTAATGAAGAAGCGGAGGACGTTCAGCAACATGCATCATTTGGTGACTTGCGATTGTCAACCGACCCGTTCGTTCGACTCGATACACACACCGAAGCACACCGTGATCCTCGATCGTGGTAACTGCGTGCTTCTTCTAATTTCAGGCGTATTTATCAAGAAAATGTTGCCCTCGTACGCTTACTGCAAGGTGTTGGCGTTCACGATAACTTCCTTTCGGAAGTTGTTTTACGAAATACTCACCCCGTACGAGAAGAAGGATTATCACGCGAAGGCTGCGGGGATCTACGAAAAGGACGCCACGAAATGCAGCACCTGCGGCGAAGAGGAGTTCCTAAGAACCGTCTCGATAGAAACGAATGACACAAACGTAAGCATCGAAGACGAATGTACAAGCGTGTATTCTCGAATTCTTCGTATCGTTACGCTCTCAAAAATCGAATCGAACGACGTAGAAAAGAGCAACGCCGCAGAAACGGGAGTCTAAATTCGAGCCCAGACGAAGCATTTTCATCACCAACGACGACAACGATAAAAGGCGAGAGAGTATGATACGCAAAGTTTCAGTTCTGCCAGGACTTGTTGACGACATCGCTGGTAAATATGTACATATTATGAAACTGTTGATCAACCTCACCGAATCACACACAGTGATTCTTACGAGTTTCAAATGCAACAATACGTAATGTTTTTGTATGATAAAATTTCACGTGTGAAATGATATTTTTTTCATTCCATCGAAGTTCTACATTTTAAATTTGCATAGCTGCAATAAACTGCTTTAACGTGTGTTAATACATTACTGTTTTAATACATTCGACAACGTCGTTATAAATAAAATATTAACAGAACGTACGTATACGCTTGTGTCTTGATCTGTCTCCATTGTACCAGTCGAACAAACAGACGATCACGAAATGGACAAGCGTGCATCTGATTTTGCAAAGAGAACGGAACGATCTCCCACTCTCGTCGACTTGATATTCGAAGATCCATGGGACAGTCGTTTGGAGCAGTTCAGCTATGTGGATTACCGCAATTGCAGATGCATAGATATGATTAGTTACGTGTTTTGGAAGTTTTACCAGCACATCGTACACATCGGTAACGTTTCACTTAAACGAGCCTTCTCCTAAACGACGATCACGATCCTCGTTACGAGGATTTACCTTCCAGACGATCCTGAGAAGTTAGTCAAGTTCATGTTGAACTATAGCGCTGGCGCGATTCAAACTGGGCAGCCTCTCTTTGCGATCAAGTCTCTAGCGGCCATGATCGAGAATTCCGATATCGGGAAGATGAAGCAGATCGAAATTATAAATGAACCTGCTAACAAGATCAAATACTTGATTCTAATGGGTAAAAAATCTGCCTCACTGGCTGTTTGGCACACGGATTTTACACGGATGTTGCGGATGAAAACGTGGTTGTTATTTATTTAGGGGACGCTTACGCTGCCTACGGGAATTATTCTCAAGCGAAGAAATTTTACACCGAGGCTGTGATACTGAGGGGTCGTCTGCCGCAGAACAGCAAAGCGATCTGTTGCAGCATCATGCTAGAGCAAATACGGTGCAACGTGTTAAGTTTTCTCAAGCACAGTGATCACAAAGACTCGAGGGAGAAAACTGTGGAGAAGGTAGAGCTGGCTATCGCTTTGCAACGACTGGCTGTGGTTTCGATGGTGTGGGACGTTCACGATCATGGCACGAAGTGTGACGATCACACGATCGATGAAATTTCAGGCGCAGAACGAAACGAAGATGGCGAAGCTCGCCATTTTGCAAAGTCTTCGAATCATTTTCGAGAGCCGAGACTGTTTCCTGGAGAAAGGGGAGATTTATTTATCCGCGGTGAGAACTTTCCGACAGATGGGAGAAATGTACGTGGTGCATTTGGAGGAACCAATATTGTTGACCATTAAAGAGAAGGCTACCTGGAAGAGACCGGAAGAAGCGATCTTGCTGGCTCAGATCTATCAGACGATATACAAAACCAGGTAAATCACCGTCTAACTTCGAATTATTTGAATGAAACATACAACAGCGACGAGCTTCAGCAATTTATTTATTCGTCGATGAAAGAATACTGCAGGGCAAACTGACGGAAGCTATCGAGATTGGGATAAACATCTGCAAGATATGCAACTATTTGCACTTGAACAATTTGAAGCTCGCTGTACTACCGTCGCTGATAGAAGTTATGGTAAAGCCGTGTTACTCGGACGTTTTATA